GAAATCTTGGTGCTTAAACAAATCCCAAGAAGAGTGAGAGAGCAGAGGCGAGATTATAAATTCTTGGCGAACCAATTAAACCAAAAAGGTATCATATTTAGATGGCTAATCCCAAAAGGAATGCTAATCACTTGGGAAGAAAGAAAAATTAAGGTAGACTCCATGGAAAAAGCCCAAGAATTCTACGAATGATTGATAGGCCATGAAGGATCGAGTAGTAGAGACGAGTTAGAAATGAATTTGCAAGACGACCAAGACTAACAAAAAAATAGAGATGGGAATTGTAGGAATTAAAAAAATAAACAACATCAAGAGAGAAGAATCGAAGACACACAATCAGCCACAAAGAGAGACAGGAGTAACTACAAGACAAAGAGCAAGAGTCAATTAGGTCAAGGATGAAGAAAAAAAATTACTATCAATTAACATAAATGTCCTAAACTCTAGGATAAAAAGGAAAAGAATATTAACCAAATTAATTAAACAAAATGCAGATATAATATGTTTACAGGAAACTCATATAAGGAAGAAGGAAGAAAAATGTTTAGAATGCCCCAAGCTAGGGAATTTGTATACATCGCCAACAGATTTTAGGAAAAAGAAAGGGATAGCAGTATATGTGAAAGACAATATGAAAGCAGAGCCAATTTGGATAGACCCCAATGAAAGAATTCTGATGTTACAAATTTGGATTAAATCAATTCTAATTCTACTAGTGGTAATCTATGCCCCTAACTATAACCAAAAGGAATTTTTAAAACAATTACGTGAGAAATTAGTGGAATTAGATAAAAGGAATATTTGTATCTTGGGAGATTTCAATGCTATCGTGGACCACCAGAAATATCATAGTAGTGGGGGGGAGGAGAAGTAAAAAAGAGAACTACCAAAAACATGTGAAGAAATGATAATTGAACTAAATTTGATAGACATGTGGAGGAAATTAAACCCTGAGAAAAAGCAATTTACATTTTATTCCAACCCTCACCAATCATGGACACGAATTGATATGGTGTGGATGAATGGTGAATTAGTAAATGAATTAAAAGAGATTGAAATCTTATCAAACGAATGGGCAGATCACAACCCGATTCAGATAGTGTGGAAAGGCAGGAAGAAACCAAGGAAAAGGTGGACCTTAAATACACAGTTAATTAAAGAGAAAGAATTTATGAATAAACTTGACGAGGAATTAGATTATTTTTTAAAAGAAAATAATAATGAGGCAACTATAAAACAGAATATTTGGGATACAATGAAGGCAATAATAAGAGGCATAACAATATCATACACTGCTAAAAGAAATAAAGAAAAATATACCCAACAAAATAAATTAGAACAAAGAATCAAAGAATTAGAAATTGAGCTGCAAAAACCCCAAAAGATTGCAAATTGAAAAAAACAGATGATAATAACTAAACATAAATTAAATTTAATCGAACAAGAAGGCATGGTCTCAAAGTTAAATACAGCCACACAGATATTCTTTGAACAGGTCAATAAACCAGGAAGGTGGATGGCCTATAAATTTAAAAAAGAAAAACAAAAAAGATTGATCTACCAATTAATAGATGAGAACGGGGATGCCCAACAAAGGATAGAACAGAAAAAAGAAATTGCATGTGAATTTTTTGAAGATCTTGAAGATTTTTTGAAGATTTTGAAGATACCCAAATAGTTTCTTATCATATCTTCATTTACCTCCTTCTTTAGAAGGAGGTAAATGAGGATATGATAAGAAACTATTTGGGTATTACTAAAGATAAAATAATTAAGGAGGAGATGGAGGAAATGTTACTTAGAGATGTTACGTGGCCCAAGTTAAAAGCAGCAATAGAAAACCAAAAGAACAATAAAACCCCAGGACCTGACGGCATACCAGGGGAACTCTATAAAAAAAAATAGGAGAATGAATAAGACCTCTCATGGTGGAAGTATATAATGAGGTCCTACTAGCAGCGAGAATGCTGGATTCATGGAAGGAGACATTGATATTGTTGATTCTGAAAGAAGATTCAGATTCACGACATATACAAAACTATAGACCAATTTCCCCGTTAAACACTGATTATAAAATATTTACTACAATTATAGCAGATAGATTGAAAAAAAATATTGAATGAATATATACATAAAGATCAAAACGGATTTCTTTTTAATAGACAAATCAGGAATAATTTAAGGATAGTATTAAATGTTTTGGAATACTACGAAGCCCACCCGGAAAAACAAATAGCCCTTGTATTCTTGGATGCACAGAAGGCCTTTGACAATTTAAATTGGCAATTCCTAATTCAACAAATTTACAATATGAATCTAGGTACTAAGTTTGAAAACATCGTGGCTACAATTTATGATTCACGAATATTACAATTAATGGAGAGTACATGCGCTCAATAAAAATAGAGAAAGGAGTCAGGCAGGGATATCCATTACCCCCCTGCTCTTCATATTATCTTTGGAAACATTGCTTACATGAATTAGACAGAACCCAGGAATAAAAAGACTAAAAATTAAAAAAGAATAATAATAAACTCCAGTCATTTGCAGATAATATGGTATTTTTCATAGAGGAACCAATTGAAACAGGTCAAGAACTATTGAAAGAGTTAGATCAATTTGGGGAAGTTGCAGGACTTAAAATTAATAGGGAAAAATGAAATTAATAACTAAAAAATTAACAGAAAAACAAAAACTAAAATTGGAAAGGATAATGGGATTACAAATAGTAAAAAAAAGTTAAATACCTAGGAATTTGGTTGACGGCTCAATGCAAAACTCTAATGGAAAATAATTATAATAAATTATTACAGCAAATTTAAAAAGATTTAGAGATATGGGTTAAATTGCAAATCTCCTTATTAGGGAGGATTGCTACTATAAAAATGAATATTCTGCCCAAATTTATTTACTTATTCCAAACAATACCAATAAAAATACATAAAAATTACTTCGTGGAACTTAACAAGATAATCACCAAATTTATCTGGCAAGGGGAAAACCCTGAGGATAAACCTAAAGGCATTGCAAGATATGAAGAGCAGGAGGTATGGCACTCCCAAATTGGGAATTATACTATAGTGCAGCCTCCTTACTCTGGTTGAAAGAGTGGGTAAATCTGTCGAATAAAAGGATCTTAGTTTTAGAAAGCCATGATTTACAGAGGGGATGGCACGCATTTTTATGGGACATTGGGAAAATTAAGCAGAAGTATTTCCACAGACATATAATTAGAGATTCCTTATTGGCTAATTGAAACAAAATAAAAAAAACATTATTTAAAAATCCCAATTTGGATCTCAAAGATGGAGGCGATGATACATCCAAATAATCTAGATCGTAATAAAATGATAAAATACAAAGACCTTCTTGATGCGCAAGAAACTTTAAAATCATGGCAAGATCTCCAAGAATAGGGGTTGCAAGTAGACCAGTGGGCTTACCTGCAAATTCAAAATAAATATAGCCAGGACAATTTTGGAATTTATACAAAGGCACAACAAATAGATAAAATTTTATTAGGACCAGATAAAAAAAATATAACTAAATTTTATAATCATTTACTAGAGGTGGAATAAGAAGAGGAAGTAGTTAAAGGCAACATGATAGCTTGGAGCAGAAACATAGGATGTAGCATTAAATTATTAGAATGGGAAAAGGTTTGGACAAGGAATAATAAAATTACAAGCTCAGCAGCATATAAAGAAAATGCCTATAAAATGTTTTATAGATGGCATCTCTCACCCTTGAGAATAGCGAAAATGTCTCCTAACTTGAATCCAAATTGCTGGAAATGTAAAAAGAAACAGGGAACATTTTTTCATATGTGGTGGTCCTGCACTGAAGCCCAAAGATACTGGCATAGAATAAAAAAATGGTTAGAGGAAATAACGGCGGAGCAAATTCAATTAAAACCAGAATTCTTCCTAGTGGGGATATTTAATAGACAAATTCCTAAAAATGTCAAATATATAATATGCTTATTCTTACTGCAGCCAGAATAACCTTTGCACAGTGTTGGAAACAAGCAGATATTCCAACAGAGGAGATGGTTATACAGAAGATAACAGCCTGTGCAGAGATGGAAAAGTTAACCTTAGCACTTAAGGAAAAAGAAACATCAGAATATTATAGAAGCCGGGAATGCTGGTATGACTGGATAGAACAAAAATAGAAAATATATTAGTAAATAACGTAAAATGTAAATCATGATTATATATTTGCAATAAGATGTATTTGTAAATGTATCACCAATATTGATAACAAACAAGGAACCATAGACTGTTGAGAGTAGAATTGTTAGTTTTTTAATCATTTTCCTTTTTTCCATTTCTTTTCTTCTTCTTCTGTGTGTTGTGTTTGTTTGATATTTTGGTTTTGTAATCAATAAAGTTTGTTTAAAAAAACAAAAATTTCCTGAACATAGTGGGAATTCCTCTTGCGAAAAATCAGGTCTTTCTTTTGTTCTTTTTACAGATTCTCATAATAACAATTCTGGAAAACATTTCTTGTTCCTTTATCACAATGACTACTTTAAAAAAGGAGTAGCTTAATTAAATAAAAAAGGATTGGCCAGGAGCTAGCCCTTCTGAGTACTGTAAATATGTTTAAAATGTTCATGAGTAAGAAAGATATACCATGTGGTCCACAAAGTCAAAAGCCCAGAAATTGAATTCTACAATGGTAGTATAGAGATATACCACTATGAGTAACATAAAAAGATAGCTGTTAGGAATAGGGATTATTTTACTGAAGCCTCATCTCAGTTCCTTCAGAATTTCCTGGACACCACCGCAATCAGATCATGACCTCACGGCTGACACCCAGCTTCTCCTCCTTTTGCACCGCATCAATAATAACATCTTACCTCATAAAGTTATTGTGATTTTTTTTCAAAACAGCATGTATACCCTGCTCTAAGGAGTCAAAAAGAAATTTAAAAACAAAAAATTACTGTTAGACTTATAGATCGGTTTGACTTCTCCCCAGAGGTTACTTACAGAAATATTCCAGTGTCTCTTCAATCTGCTTGAATGTGAGGGCAGTAGCAGCATCAGAGGAGACCTGGGGTGTCTGAATCCAATCTTTGTGGTCATATCCAAATATTGTGTCTGCCCGGAGTTTATACAAAGGCAGTTGTTCCCCCAGAAGGCTGATGATTTCCACTTCTGGCAAATTGCTGCTATTGCAAAAGTCTGTTGAGAAAATATGAGGAGAGACAAAGAGAGATGGTTTGATTAGCAAAGGGGGAAGTGAGGTAAGGCCTTTGGTCTCAAGAAACTGACCCGTCCCTAAGATGCACCTGGCTGTAGAATATCACAAGTTTTTCTTGATTGAGTTTACCACATTGCACCATTTCAGCCAGTGTGCTACTGATAGTATGAGTTGAATGTTGTGGAAACTAAGCCAATTTCATATTTTGCAATCTACGGAAGGCAAGAAAACTAGAGAGTGACAGCAGATGTCAATCTAGTGATAAAAGATTCCCACATGAGCTGCATTCACTGCAAAACCTATGAGATTGCTCCATGTGGGTATGGTTGTTCCTACAATTAAACCTTATAATTAAACATTCAAAGCCTGCTGAATGGACCCTGAATAGTGGCAGAAGGAAGAATCAGTCAGAAGTCTCTGGCCCAGGAAATCACATTGTTTATATTCACCAGCCATACCTCAGATAAATTTAGCTAGCCTGTCAGAGAGGAATAAATAAAATCACACAGATGAGTTTATCAAAAAATATTCCAATATCAGGTTGTAATTTACAGTACTGTATACTGGCTCTGCCTTTTTCTTTGAAATGTAATCAACAAAAGCTTCTGCTTTTGATCATGTCTGCCCAGCAAGCTGACAATGCTTTCTAGGAGCCAGTTTATATTGTATTACTTACATGCTAATAAAATTATGTGTATTGTATCTTCAAAGTGATTTGGTCATATTAAGTAAACCAGAGTTGGCCACAATGTTATGCAACTCTTAATTTATTTTAAAGTACACTATAAGACATTATAATGTACTTACAATATAATGGGATATAAAAAACATGATCTCTTAAAATTAGTGATTAGCTTTCTTAAGCCTTTGAATCATTTATAACCTTTTTTACAAAAATAAATAAATAAACAGGGCAGCTTACAAACAAAGGAATTTGAATTCCAAGTATTCTTTGACTTATGGCCACAATTGGGACCAATATTTTGCTAATCTAGGCAGTTTTTAAGTGAATCTTGTCTGATTTTACCACCATTTTTTAAATGGTTGTTAAGCAAGTCATTGAGTTGTTGAATCACGTCGTTGTTAAGCAAATCTGCCTTGCCCCATTGACTTTGTTTGTTGGAAGCTGGTTGAAAATAGTGACCGTATGACTCCAGGACATTGCTACTGGTTGCCAATGTGTGCAAATTTAGATACGGTAACTATAGGGATGCTGTGATGACTACTCAAGGAGTAGTCATAAATCACTTTATCCAGTGCTGTTGTAACTCTGAATGGTCACTAAATGAATGTTTGTATATCATACTGTTACCATGAAAATGATATAGATATGGATATGAAACTACTATAAGTGGAGCTCAAATCAGTGGAAATTTAATTTAAAACCAGAGGGGTATCTTATGTGCTACACAGCTCTTTTAAAATAGTTTAATTTAACTCTCTCTCCCTACATGGAAAATGTACTTCTGTTTTTCTGCTTATTGCTCAACTATCATGAAACAATCTAGTCCAGTGTTTCTCAACATTAGCAACATGAAGATGTGTAGACTTCAACGCGCATATTCGCTGGGGAATTCTGGGAGCTGAAGTCCATACATTTTAATATTACCAAGATTGAAAAAACTGGTCTGAGCAATGCTCTTGTAAAGGAAGAACTCTACTGCCCTCTTGTGGATTTTCATAAGCAAATAAACATAGCAAGAATAGAATAGAATGCTTTATTGGCCAAGTGTGATTGGACACACAAGGAATTTGTCTTAGTGTAAATACCCTCAGGATACATAAAAGAAAAAATACCTCCATCAAGTGTACAATAAACAATCAAATCATACGAAGAAATAGTCAATATAAATCGTAAGTATACAAGTGACAAAGTTACAGTCATACATCACAAGTGGGAGGGGATGGATGATAAGGAGTGGTGAGAAGATTAACAGTAATAGTAGTTCACTTTGTAACAGTGTTGAGGGAATTATTTGTTTAGCAGAGTGATGCTTTTTGGAAAAAACTGTTCTTGTGTCTACTTGTTCTGGTGTGCAATGCTCTATAGCATCGTTTTGAGGGAAGGAGTTGAAACAGTTTATGTCCGGGATGTGAGGGGTCTGTAAATATTTTCACAGCCCTCTTTTTGACTCTTGCAGTATACAGGTCCTCGATTGAAAGCAGGTGGGTAGTAATTGTTTTTTCTGCAGTCCTAATTATCCTCTGAAGTCTGTGTCTGTCCTGTTGGGTTGCAGAACCAAACCAGACAGTTATAGAGATGCAGATGATAGACTCAATGATTCCTCTGTAGAACTGGATCAGCAACTCCTTGGGCAGTTTGAGGTTTCTGATTAGGTGCAGAGGGTTTCTCAATTTTCTCAGTTCCTATATTGCCAAAGGTGATTTTCTGAAAGACAACTGAACTCTTTTTTTTCCTGAGGGAAAAATTCAGGGAAAAAACAGTCTGACTGCCTTTTGAAAAAGCATCTTTGAGACAACTGTGACCTGGATGACTAAAAATCTCCACAGATGTCCCCAAAGTGCTTTTTCAAGAGGCAAATGGTTTTTCTTTGAAGACATTTCATTTCTCAACCAAGAAGCTTCTTCAGAGCTGAAGAAACTTCTTGGGTGAGAAGTGAAATGTCATCAAAAACAACAACAACAGCAACAACAAAACAACAATAACAGAAAGTCCAATTGCCTCTTGAAGCACCTTTGGGACAACCATGACCTGGATTACTGAGAATTTCCATAGATATTTAATCTCCACAGACATCTCTAAATTGCATGTATATACTTAAACTGGGTTTGGAGAATTTGGTGGAGCTAGAAACAATAGCAGGATAAAAGAAACATACACTGTGCTGTCCAGCCAGTTATAGTTAATAGGGAATTGGGATAGTTAGTTAGGAATTGGGAGCTGTCCCCTTAAGGGAATGCATCATGGTAAATGTAGTTAAGGTATCCTGGGAAATGTAGTCCATGTCATGTGGCGACATCTGTAATCCTGATTGGTCACTGAATTGATCCTTGGTGGGTTGTTGGAGGTTCCTTCACTCTTGCCTGAACCCAGCATCATGCTGACATCTCACCTCCTTGCTCCTTCGATGTAGGATAAGAGATTACCATCCTTTTACACCAGAACGTCAGTTATGTAAAGAGTTGGACATTGAGATGAATCTCGACGTAACTGTGAGTTATATTGAGGATGCCCGATGAACCACTAAAAAGACTTTGTATGGATGCTTTGTGGAGTAAACTGTCTGCTTTATAATCAGCTAGTGGTTGTAAGGTCCAGAACAGTAAAAGGATGAATCTGGATTCCCAGTAAAATCATGATGAGATCTGAAAAGAATGAATCAGGATTCCCAACAGTAAAAGGAAAATTCCACAGTAAAGAATGTTGTTTATCTGGATTTCTGGAAAAATAAAGTACAATGCTAATCTGGGTCTCCAAAGCAAAGTTATAAGCAATCAGATTGCCTGAATTCTCTCCCTAAATTACTTTTTTCTTTCTGAGCTACAAAGTTACCAAATCTGTTTGAATTCACAGGGAGGGGGTCTGAGATCCCCTCCTCTCTTCAGCAAGAGAATTTATAAGCTATTACCTTTCTGTCTCAATTTCCATCTCTGTTGTCTTCCTGCTATCTCAAAGACTCAATTTGCATAACAAGAGGGCGAGTGTTTGTACTTCTGGGAGAGCCAGAAATTCCCTGTCTCTCAAGGGAAAATCAAACTTCTGTCTTAAAACCCTTTACAAATGCAGTGGGAGAGTCTGAGGAATCTTGCTTGTGTCTTTAAACAAAATCAAGAGCTGATTCTCTTCTGATCATTACCAGGAGGAGAGTAATTAAGAGGCCATCTTGCAAGTCATAAAAATTCCTCTTGCCAGAGCCATCTCCATAGCAATGGGCACATCCCTCCGCTGAAGAGAGACACTTAATTTAGCAAGCAATTTAAACAAAGAAAGCAGCTTGCCTTTCTCTTTACTGATGAAGCCAAGAAGGATTTTTTTCCTTTAACAAAATTAGAAGCAATCTAAAAGCAAAGAGAAATTATTTAATCACAGTGTTCATGCAATGTACTAAAGTATTGCATCTCTTTAATGACTTTTCATCTCAGCCTAATTGGCTGCCATTCAACTACTAGCCTACAGCACCATCTGGTGGCAAGTAGAAAATTTCACAGGAAAATTCTAAACAATTTTTTTTTTTAAACTAAGCTTACAGCAACCCTTGCCACCCAACTCAAGGATCTCCATCCTGTGGCAAGTACTGAATTTACAGGAAGTCTCCTAATTTTAGCAACTTCTTGTTACATTAATCCAAGGGTCCAGCAACACTAACAGGCCAATCTGTACAGCACAATGGCGTCACCCAGACCTAGCAAGTATCACTAACAGGCCAACCTGTGCAATGCACCAACGTCTTTCAGACCTCGCAATTCACCCTCTGGTGGCCAACCAGTGTACTGCACCAACGTCGTCTATACCTTGCCATGCACATCTCTAAAATAGCACATCTCAGATACATGGGTCAAGGCTTACGTGGATGAGCAGCACTCGCTATGACATGAGCAGGTAGAGCTGGCACAGGTAGTTAGCAGTCTCCCAAAACCAGGGAATCAAAGGGGTGAATCTCAACCACAGACTCTAAATGCCAGTCGCAAAACTGATGTTGTAAGACCTAAAATTTGAGATTCCCTTCCCACAAGCAACTTTCCCTTCCCAAAAACAGCAAACCTAACCCTACACCTCCAGACCTACAGAGTGAGCGATTTAACCCACCAGTTGCTACACAGATTTCTCAGTAGAGAGACATACCTCAAGCAACAACTGCCACACTCAATCCACAGGCAGTGGCATTCCTGCCACAATCTCAACACTACTCAAGCTCACAGGTACAAGATAACCATGGCCAGCCTACACAGCAGCGTGAAGCTCCATCATCATCTACGGCATGGCAGAACATCCTCTCAGTAAGTACTGGGAGGAAGACTA